GGTCCTGCTTAACCCAAGGGAAAAGGAGCCCCCTCATCCCACCCAGGGGGATGGAAAACTCATGGGAATTGCCTCCTGGGGAATCCATCCCCATCTCCAGCCCGGCTGGAAGGCAAGGAAAAGCTAAGGGAGCAAGGGGTAGAGCCCCCAAAATAAGGGCACAGCCCTGGTGGGTTCCTACAGACACATTCCTGCCCTGAGGGAAAACCTGGAGCAATCCTGGATGGTTTGGGAGAGACAAGGGGGGGGATGTCACTCACCTGCGACCCATCTTTGGGGTGAAGGGGGGAGTGGGATTTTCCAGAGACCTGGGGAGGGATGGGAGAGTCACCTTTGTGTCCCAAAATCCCTCCCTGGGGATGGGAGAGTCACTTTGTGTCCCAAAATCCCACCCTCAGGATGGGAGAGTCACCTTTGTGTCCCAAAATCCCTCCCTCCTCCCTTTGGGATGGGAGAGTCACCTTTGTATCCCAAAATCCCTCACTTGGGATGGGAGAGTCACCTTCGTGTCCCAAAATCCCTCCCTCGGGATAGGAGAGTCACCTTTGTGTCCCAAAATCCCACTCTCCTCCCTTGGGATGGGAGAACCATCCCTGTGTCCCGACATCCCACCCTTCCACTGGCAGTGTTTCCTCAAGACCCTCCAGATGTTTGGGGCAGGAATGGGAATGAAAGCCCAATTCCCTGAGTTTTTTTCCCCCATGGAAAACATCCAGGAGGTTCTGCAGGAGCTGCAGGAATGGAACCACCTCACCCTGCATGGGGAACCCAGAGGATTCCCCAAAGCTTTCCCAGCAGAGGGGCTTCCAAAACCTTCCCCGACCCCAAAGGGTTCATCTTCCCGCCCCTTCCGGCGTTCCCAGCTGATCCCTGGATCCCACCCTTCCCGGAGGAGCCCTGGAGGTGGATTTTCCCACCTGGTGGACAGGCTGGATGCAGAGGATGAGGCCGACTGGTGCAGCCTGGTGGCCTCGGCCGCCGCGTCCATGTCCACGTCGCTCCGGGACCGCGGCACGTTCTCGGCTTTCCGGGATTTCTTCAGCTCTTCCCGGCCCTTCAGGCTCTCGGAGCGGCCCAGCTTGACCTCGGCACGGGAGCTGGAGCAGGGAACAAACCCCGGGATGAGGCTGAGCCTGCTGGGAATGTCGCTGCTCACCCAGGAGGAGCCGGGCGGGAATCTCGGGAGGGTTTTTTTGGGATCGAGCCGGGATGAGCGAAGGGAAAAGGGTTGGGCTTGATCCCCCAGTGTGGGCAGCAGGGCAAGGGGGGGATTTTGGGATAGTGGGAAGGTGTCCAGCCCATGGCAGGGCGTGGCATTGGATTTTTAAGGTCCTTCCCACCCAAACCATTCCCAGGATTCCACGATTTCCATGATGGGCTGAAGGCTCTTTGTGCTGCCAGAACCATCCCACGGGTGGAATGAGATCATCTTGAAGACCCTCCCAACCCAAACCACTCCAGCATTCCATGTGCTGGTTTAGGTGGGATATTAGGGATAAACTCCTCCCTTGTCAGGAGGGTGGTGAGGCCCTGATTTTCCATGGAATTTGCGGATTGGAAATTCCAATCCACGCCAAAACTGGAAGTGCCCAAGGCCAAGTTGGAGCATCCTGGTCTAGTGGGAGGTGCCCCTGGATGATCACTGAACCATTCCATGATTCCATGAAACCCACCATGGGATGCCCAAATCCCAGGCCTGGCCCCACCTGTCTGATTCCAGGAGATCCTCTGGGAAGCTCCCCGTGGAGAGGCGTTGGGTGCCAGGCTCTTGGCTCTCGTAATGCTGATTGTTCTCAAAGTGCTGGATAATATTCCTCACATTCCCAGGTTTGACTGCTGGGACAAAAAAAAACAGGGAAAAAACCCCCCACACCCTCAGTGAGCTCAGGATGGGGGAAACAGCACCCAGGGAATGTCCAGGAAGCCCTCCCAGCTCCCCCTGGGGATGCTGGAATTCCTGGGATGCTGAGTGGGAAAAGCCGTCCCTCCTTCCCAGAGCCCAGCCCGACATCCAGGGAATGTTTTTGGGGAGCTCGGGGAGGGGAGAGGGGGCATAAAATCAAACTTATAAGCACATGAGGTGAATGGCAAAAACAAAAGAAGAGGCGTTTTACCTTCGACAGGGGACAAAGGGACATGAAATGCTGGAAGGAAGAACAAAAATGAGGCGTCAAATCGATGCCCAGGTGACAAATCAACCCCGAATTCCAGCAACCAAGGAGGGAATGAGGGGAGTGGGAGAGGTGGAAATGCAGGAACTGGAAGCTGGAGGGGAGGGAGGCGAGCAGGGGGACGCACACACTCGGTTGTCACCACGTTGCCACCCCCAGATGTGGCACTTTGGGGACACGGGAGCGGCCTCGGAGCCTGCGGGGTTGGGGAATGTCGGGGAAATCTGGGAGATTGGGATTCATTCACCCAGGGGGGGTCTGGGTTGGATACTGGGAAAAGGTTCTTCATCCAGAGGGTGGTCAGGGCTGGAACAGGGTTTTGGAGAGGGACTTTTCCCGAGGAGTCACAGGATGAGGGGATTGAGGGAGGTTTGGGTGGGATATTAGGGATAAATGCTTCCCTGCGAGGGTGGTGAGGCTCTGGTTTTCCAGGGATTCCCTGCCCTTGGAAGTGTCCAAGGCCAGGTTGGAGCAACCTGCTCTAGTGGGAGGTGTCCCTTGCCCATGGGACTGGATGAGCTTTAAGGCCCCTTCCAATCTGAATTCCATGATTTCCCAGGGAATTGGTCACAGCCCCAACCCTGCCAGAGCTCCAGGAGAGTTGGGACAACACTCCCAGGGACAGGGTGGGATTGTCAGGGCCAGGATTGGACCTGGATCCTCGTGTATCCCTTCCCACTCAGGATATTCCATGATCCCATGGGAGCTCCCTTCCCACTCCCCCCACAAAAGCCACATGGAAAACACGGATGGGTGAAGGGATGGTTTCCAGGGAGGGTGGGGAGGGGGATGAGAAATGCCTGGCACGGGGCGAGCAGGAATTCCAGGAGGGGTTCCCAAGGCATTCCCAAGAAGCTGCAGCAGGCTCAGCACCTCGGGAAGGGGGCCAAGGACGACACTCACTGCTCTGGGAGGAGATTTTGGGCTTCCCGATGTACTTGAGGATGGGGTTGCGCTTCTTGTCTTCCAGGGCATCCTTGTCCTTCTTGGAGCTGCTGCTCTGTTGGGACACCCAGGAGGATGAAACATGGAAAGAGACATTCCCACGGAAGCTCCAGAGGGGTCCCAACATTCCCTGAGCGGGAATGAGCCACCGGAGAAGGGATGGGGCCGGGATCTGGTGTTCTCCAGGGGTGGGGGGAGATGGGGATCTCTGGAGAGCCAGAGGGAACGGAGATGGGGAAGGGGCTGGAGCAGCAGGAGAAGGGTCTGGAGAACTCCCGAGGGAGCTGGGGGGGCTCATCCCGGAGAAAAGGAGGCTCAGGGGGGACCTTCTGGCTCTGGAATTCCCTGACAGGAGATTGGAGCCAGGGGGGGTCGGGCTCTGCTCCCAGGGAACAAGGGACAGGAGGAGAGGGAACGGCCTCAGGCTGTGCCAGGGGAGGGTCAGGTTGGCCATCAGGAGGAATTTCCCCATGGAAAGGGTGTTGAGGCCTTGGAAGGGGCTGCCCAGGGAGGTTTGGAGTGCCCAGCCCTGGAGGTGCCCAGGGCAGGACTGGCTGTGGTGGGGATGCCAAGTGTGTAGTGCCAAAGTGGGGATGGGGCACAGGGGGGACTCCACGGGCTGGGAGGGCTTTTCCAACCTCAGGGATTCCTGGGATTCAGGGCTCTCAGGGAGCCACCACCCACCTTCTTGGCCTTGGGGAAGAAGGGCAGCCACTTGTCCCTGTCGGGGAGGGACGGGACCTTCTCGGAGGCGCCGGCAGGACGCGGGTCCCGCACCCGGATCCCGGTGTGGTTCATGTAGGTGCTGAGGGCAAAGGCCATGGGGGAGCTGGAAGAGAGCAGAGCACGGGGATGGAGAGGGATCCCAGCCCTGGACATGGTGGGAAAACACGAGGGGAGGTTGGGATAACCCTGGGGGATCCACGGGGAGAAACCCCCCAGCGTGGGATGAGGCTGAGAGGGAAGAGGGAAGGAGAGGAGGAGTTGGGAGAGGGGGAGGTGGAATGGGAGAGGGGCACACGTGGCCCACCAGATCCCAAGGGAAGTTCATCCCTCCCCAGGATCCCAAGGGAAGTTCATCCCTCCCCAGGACCCCAAGGGAAGTTCATCCTTCCCA